GGTTTGAACCACCAGCCTTCGGGTTAGCAGTTAAATGCCTTAGCCACTATGCTGCCAGAGCTCCTAAAATTGAAACTAATAGGTTGTAATTCAATATAGAAAGATTTTGCAAAACAATTTTGTTATTAGTGTTCATATAATCTAAGAAATATTATCCAACCAGACTGTAAGGATCTCTGGTAGCATAGTGGATAAGGCACTTGACTACTAACCAGAAACAGTGGTTCAAACGTGCCAACCCCTCCATGGAAGAAGGATGGGGCAATATACTTGTGTAAAGATTTACAGCCTTGGAAACCCATTGGGGTCTCTATGAGTCAGAATTGACTCAATGGCAGTGAGTTTGTTTTTTTCCAGATTGTAGATGCTTAGGGCATTTGACTGCTAACCAGAAGCCTCGTTGTTTCAAACCCACTAGCCACTCCTTAGAAGGAAGATTGGGTAATCTATTGCCATGGTGATACAACCTCAGAAACCCAAGGTGGGGGCGGTCACCATGAGTCGAATCTGACTCGATGGCAGTGATTTTGTTTTGTTTTATATGGTAAGAGGGGAAAACAACATGATCCAGACTCCATTTAAGACTGAAGGAAATTTACCAAGTTTATTGTTAGCTATCATGGAGCTCTGGTAGCATAGTGCCTAAGGTATTTGACTGCTAACCAGAAGGCTGGCAGTTCAAACCACCAGCCACTCCTCAGAAAGAAGGTTGGGCAATCTACTTCCATAGTGATGCCACCTCGGAAACCCAAGAAGGGGTTGCTATGAGTCGGATCTGACTCGATGGCAGTGAGTATCATGAAGTTGGTCCAAACTCATGGTGATCCCAACAGAATGAAATGGTGCCCAGTCCTGCACTATCCTCATGATTGATAGTGGATCACACTCTTATGATCTATAGGCTAATCAATTCGGTGTGCTTCATGAACTTGGGAAAGCAGACATAGCGTGGAAGCCATGCTTCTGCTCTCTTTGCTGCTTCTGCCGGCAAGCACAGTCCTGAAGGTGTCTGATTTTTCTGTACCAGGATGCCAGGGTCGGCTCCCCAGTCTCATGGGGGCATCTGTGTTTGGCCAGTGCGGATCTAGCAGGCATGCCCCTCTAGCCAACAGTTCTGGTGGCAGGCTCCTGGTGCCCAGCTTCCTGATGCAGCAGCAATGGCAGCTCTGTTGGGTTGTTCTAGGTGTTACACTGGAGGACGCCCAGCCCAGAGCCTGTTCTTCCAGTCCTCCAGTGATTTGGGAGCACTGAATTCCCTATACTAACTCCTGTTCCATGTGGACATTTAGAAGGGCACATAGGCTCAGGACAGGAAAGCCAGAGAGATGAGTCACAGGACTCCTAGGGCCTGAGGAAGGCCACCAGGGATTAAAGGACATTGGCTCAGTTATGGCCAGTAGAAGAGACTATTCCCAGCAAGGGCTTTCTAAACAACCAAGGAAAGTACCAGCTTCTATACCTGCCAGGCCCAGAGGGTGAGACAGCTTGGGTAGTACCAGTGATACAAGTTTTCTATCCTTTTCACTGTTATGGCCAAGTGGAAGGTTAATTACCTTTAACCTTTTAACTTCAACTAATAAGCTTTTGGGAGCTCTGGTGGTATAGTGCCTAAGGCATTTGACTGAAAACCAGAAGGCTGGTAGTTCAAACCCACCAGCCACTCCTTGGAAGGAAGGTTGGGCAATCTACTTCTGTAGTGATACCACCTCGGATCCTACTCTATGGCAGTGAGTTTAATGAGTTGTTACAAACCTAGTAAAATTTTACAAGTGCTGTAAGGGGGCCTTTGCCATTTAATTTAATTAAAGAGTTTAAACAACTTTAACAAATTTATTTTTTGGTTTTCTTTTCAAATAATTGAATTATGTAACAAAACTCTATGTGTTTTTTGTAAACCTAGTAAATTAAACTGGTACTTGTATTCTTATCAATTTAAATTTATAAGTCTGAATCAATTACACATTTTAAGTTAGAATCACAAACCCAATTTTTTAATATTCTAGTATGCTAAATTATTATAAACATTTTATCATCAATACATCCAAATTAAACTTATCACAAACTTTAAATATCTTAAAATATATAAAAAATTGATAACAATATTCTTTTATACTTAACTCTAACTTTCCCAGAATTGAAATAGATTTAACCCACATCAGGAAACAAGGCATCCCAACCCAAATTGAGAGTCACAGTGCCCTGAGGACACATACCTATCAGAGTGATAGTCTTGAAAATCATTTAAAAAAATTTTTAATTGTGATTTGGATGAAAGTTTACAGAACAAATTCACTTTTCATACAGCAGCTCACACACTTTGTCTCATGACATTGACTACAATTTACCACAATGCAACAGCTTCCCTCCCACTTCCTCCCAATAGTTACCTCTTCGCTATGTCCTTCCTTCCCATGCACTCCTGCCCCCTGAACAGGCTCCCTGTGTATACATTGTCCTGTTCTCCCATGACTGATCTCTCCAAGGAGTGTATCTACCTATTGTAGATGTTCAGCTCATATACCTGTTTTTTGTTTGGCTGGATGCCACAAGAGTTGATTAAATTCCAGACCTGAAGGGCAACGAGGACCCATAGTCTCAGTGGTTCCATCAAGCTCCTCAGACCAGCAAACCTGGACTTTTTATTTATTTATTTATTTTAATGATTTTGAGTTTTGTTTCATATTGTTCTCCCATTCTATCCAGGATCTCCTATAGAGATCCCCCTCTGAGTGGTTGATGGTGGTAACTGGGCACCATCTAGTTCTGGTCTCATAGTCATATAGGCTGAGGATCACATGGTGTATCGGTCACTTGGACTAATTGTTTCCAGGTGTCTTTGGTTTTCCTCCTTCTTCTTTGCTCTGGATGAGGAGAGACCCATTGTTGCCTCTAGATGGCCGCTTGCAAGCTTCTAAGATCCCACTTGCTACTCACCAAAGTAGGATGTGGAACAATGCTTTTGTGTAGTATGTTATGCCACTTGAGCTTGATGTCCCCTACGACTATGGTCCCAAGCCCACAGTACTCTCTACCTTTGGGTAGCTGGCTGTGGCCAAGAAGTGACTACAACCTTGACCCTTGTCAGCTCTACTATATACCTAGGAATTCTTACAGAACATACCAATATACTTGTAGAAACATTGTCTGCTAACCCTGTACATGGTCTTGGGCATACTCTCGACTGCATGGACATACCTAATAGTTCAGCCTGTCCACCCATCTATCCACCTGTATATCAGTATTTGCCTTCATTGACAACGCAGTACTATATGTGCAAAAGGGTTTATCTTTGCTGTCTGTACTTCCCAATGCAACTCTCTCTGTCTTCCTTTTCCTCAATGCCACTGTGTTGATTACTCACATTTGGTGCATTGCCCTTCTCTTCACCCAAATCAATACTTGTCTCTACCTACTTAACAGCGTTGCCTCCCCTCTTCTCCCCTCCCACCCCTGGTAACCAACAAAGAAAATTTCCTTCCATATATAAACCTTTCCTTGACTCTTTACAATAATAGACTCATACAATATTTGTCCTTCTGTGATTGACTTATTTCACTCAGCATAATGTCCTCCAAGTTCATTCACATTATATGGTGTTTTGCAGATTCTACATTATTCTTTAGGGTTGCATAGTATTCCATTGTGTGTATGTACCATAGTTTGGTTACCATTCTTCTGTTGATGGGCACCTAGGTTGTTTCCATCTTTTGGCTATTGCAAATAGTGCTGTGATGAACATGGGTGTACATATGTCAGTTCTTGTCCTGGCTCTCACTTCTTTAGGCTATATACCTAGTAATGGAATTGTTGGGTCAAATGGTATTTCTAATTCCAACTTTTTAATGAATCGCCATACTGTTTTCCACATTGGTTGTATCATTTTACAGTCCCACCAGCACTGTATGAGAGTCCCAATCTCTCCACATCCTCGCCTTGAAAATCATCAGTTTAATGATTACATCATATGCTGTTATATGCATGCACCAGAATTCAACTTGCCCATCCTGCAGGTTTGCTCCACTTTTTTCACTGTGGATCAAATTGTAACAACTCTGTGGGCACACTACTTCTCTGAATATTTCCTTACACTATCAATACCAGTACCAGTTACTGTCTAGTTGATTCTGAGTCACGGCAAGCCTGTATGTGTCAGAGTAGGACTGCGCTCCAAAGCACTTTCAACAGTTGATTTTTCAGAAGTTGATCTCCAGGCCTTTCTTCTGAAGTGCCTCTAGCAGACTCCAATCTTTGAGTAAGCAGCTGAGAGGATTAACCATTTGGACAACCCAGGCACTCCTTTCCTTAGAATAGGTGCTGTTTTTAGGTATTCTTGATATATACAGGAGCCCTGGTAGCACAGAGGAGCTCCAGTGGCATAGTGGTTAAAGCATTTGTCTGGCTACTAACCAAATGGCTGCATCAGGCCTTCTGGAGGAGAAAGATGAAGAAGCAGTCTGCTTCCATGAGCTTTGGAGACCCTATGGGACAGTTCTACCCTGTCTTATAGGGTTGCTGTGAGTTGGAATCAACTCCATTGGCAGTGAGTTTAGTTTTGGTTCTGATGTATACGTTCGTTTGCCTTACCAAAAGCTTGCCACCAATTTACACTCTCGTGAATATTGTATTATGATGACCACCTCATCATACCCTCACTAGCACTGAGTATAATCTTTTTATTATTATCATCATCTCTGCCAATTTAAATGTGCACAAATGGAGTCTCATCTTGTGTTCCCTTATTTTGTGGAAGTACGGTGGAATGTGCTTTGCATGTTCTTTGTCATTAAGCTTCTGGTGTACTCTTCACCCCTTTGGCCAGAGGGTGGGTTGCGGGCGGTCTGGCGGAGTTGCGGATAAAGCAGCCGCAATCTCGCACCACACTGCCAGGGGGCGCTGCGACCTCATGTCCTCCTGCCCCGTCTGGCTGGGGCGGGCGGCCGGGGTAGGCGGCGGGGAGCAAAGGTTCCCGGACAGACCTTCGTCTGAGGGGCAGCAGTATCATGGCGGTGGGAGCCCGGCTCCGAAGCAAGGCGGCAAACAGCCTCCCGCGACGCGGGCCCCGAGGGCGACGACTGGCGGAAGGGGACGAGGAGGCGACCGCAATCCTGGAGTACCTGGAGTGCGAGTATGAGGACGCGGAGGCTGTGGCGAGCGGCGCAAGCGGCTCAAGCGGCTCCGGGACGCGGAGTGCAAGGAGGGTGCACCTCGCCCTCCTCCCCGAGCGCTACGAGCCGCTGGACGAACCGGCGCTCGGGGAGAAGCCCAAGAGGAGGTACCGGCAGAAGCTGAAGAAATACGGAAAGGTAGGGGCAACCCCTTCGCACTGCGGGTGAGCCCAGACCTATCAGGGCTTTGTAGCTTTGGGGGCTTCTCCGAACCACAGATTCCCGAGGGATCCGCTGGTGAGCGAGTCATACCTGACAATTCGACTTTGCTTAGTTTTTGGGGGCTGCCTCTGCGTCCCCCATCGAGCCCCCACTCCCTTGTCAGCATTCCCTACTAGAGTTCTTTAAACTGTTCATTTTGTGAACTGAGAAGTGATGGAAGAAGCTAAGTTGCAAGTAATGATGTAAACTAAATCAGGGGTTTTGCTGGTCCTCACTCTACCTCCCACACCACTGTTGGTAGGTTAGTGACATTTTCCAAGGTGGTCCTTATCCTGGATGTGTCTCACCGCTCCCTTATAGAGTAAGTGGGACAGTGTCCCCATTTTACAGATAATACTGAGGCTTTTAGCGTGGTTAGGTGACTAGTAGAAGGTGACTCTATTTAAAAGTAGGGGTTGCAACCCACGTTTTCTGTTTCCTGCCAGGATCCTTTCCAAAATATCCCACTAGCTGAAAATTGTGTGTGATATCTCCCCTAGTATTTCCAAGGTTATTTTCAGGACCTGGGAGCTCTGGTGGTGCAGTGGATAAGGCATTTGGCTGCTAACCAGGTCAGCAGTTCAAACCCATCAGGGGCTCCATAGAAGGAAGATGGGGGAATCTACTTCTGTAAAGATTTACAGCCTTGGAAACCCAATGGGGCTTGCTATGAGTTGGTATGGACTCGCAGCAGGGAGCTGGTTTTTTTTTTTTTTTTTTGGTGGGGGAAGCTCAACAAATGATATACCTATGCACTCCTTGAATTTACTTTTCTCCTAGCCAGCTGTCTGTGTACTCTGGGGCCTGTAAACATACCACCATTTGCCTTGGAGGGGAGAGAGAGATAGTAGGATAAAACAGCAGTTTTTTTTTTTTTTATCAGAAATCAAAAGAGAAAGGCCAGTCCTAGGTACCTCTGCTGGGAAAGCCAAGCTGCTTTTGCCCTTGCTCCCTGTGGCTGGGCAAGGTCACCCAGAAGACAAATCACAAATTCATTGTATCCTGGCCAAAGGTCATGGGCCACACCTAATTTATTGCCCAGTTAATGTGTATCCTCCAGTGGCCTGTCATCATGCCTGAAACCAGTCAGTCCCCACACCTAGAAACTTAGGTTTACCAAACCAAGCCAAACTCACTGCCTTAGAATCTGTCCCAACTCCTAGCGACCCTTCCTTGGATTTCTGAGCTCTGGTGGCGTAGTGCCTAAGGCATTTGACTGCTAACCAGAAGGCTGGTGGTTCAAACCCACCAGCCACTAGTCGAAGGAAGGCTGGGCAATCTACTTCCATAGTGTGAGTTTGTTTTTTTTTGTTTCATCTCTACGGAAGTAGATTGCCCACTCTTCCTTCTGAGGAGTGGCTGGTGGGTTTGAACCATCAGCCTTCTGGTTAGCAGTCAAATGCGTTAGGCACTAGGCCACCAGAGCCCCTTTAAAAGAGAATGGTAAAACTAAGTTTCTAGGGAGCTTTGGTGGCATAGTGCCTAAGGCATTTGACTACTAACCAGAAGGCTGGAGGTTCAAACCCACCAGCCACTCCTCAGAAGGAAAACTGTGCCATCTACTTCCATAGAGATACTACCTTGGAAACCCAAGGAGTTGTCACTGTGAGTCAGGATCGACTCGACAGCAGTGAGTTTTTATCCTCTTTTAAGGTATGTCAACAGCTTTTGGAGCAATACACAGACAATGGTAAAACATATTCATAAAAAGTATAAAGTTGGTCTGAAGTTTATGGTTGCAATGTTGTTGTTGTTATGTGCCGTCGAGTTGGCCCCAACTCATAGCGACCCCTCCTTGGGTTTCTGAGGCAGTATCACTACTGAAGTAGGATTGCCCAACCTTCCTTCCAAGGAGTGGCTGGTGGATTTGAACCACCAGCCTTCTGGTTAGCAGTCAAGTGCTTTAGCCACTATGCTACCAGAGCTCCATTTCTTTTCCAGGTCCCAGTTGAGCATAATGAAGCCATCATTTGCCTCTCAACTGGTGAACTGATAATATGGAGATCCTGTTTCAGGGGCTGGCACTGGAGATGTTTTTTGGGTGCTCTCCATGTGCTAGGCATGGTTCTTGTTGGCTGCTGTCAAGTCAACTCCAACTCATGGCGACCCCCTTTGGGTTTCCAAGGCTGTAGATAATCTCTACAGAAGCAGACTGCCTCATCTTTCTTCTGCAGAGCAGCTGGTGGGTTAGCAGACTACTACACGACCAGAGCTCCTTTAGGGAACTACACGACCAGAGCTCCTTTAGTTTAGGAAACACTAAACAAACCAAACCAAACTCATTGCCATCGAGTCGGATCCAACTCATAGCAACCCCTCCTTGGGTTTCCGAGGCAGTATTACTACGGAAGTAGATTGCCCAGTCTTCCTTCTGAGGAGTGGCTGGTGGCTTTGAACTGCCAGGCTTCTGGTTAGCAGTCAAATGCTTTAGGCACTATGCTACCAGAGCTCCTTTAGGGAACACTAAAGATACAAAAATGAAAACAATGTGTTTCTGCCCTAGTGAAGTCCATTGCCTACTAGGGAAAAGACAGGTGTGTCCATGCTGACAGAGTGAGGAGGCCCCATTGTGGAGCCACATCACATGGAGCTCAGGGAGGAGGTTCCTTATGCTCAGGGAGGAGGTTCACATCAACAGTGACATGAAAACTGGGTGCCAAAGATAAGTTAAGGGGTAGAGAAGGCATAGCATCCAAGGCAGAGGGAATATCCTGAGCAAAAATGTGGCATCTGCAAGTACAGGAGTATAACTCAGAGAGGCAAGAGAAAGGACATTGTCCTTTTAGAGTAAGACATGCCCTCTCTGCCCTGTACATCCTTGGAGGTGGACGAGAGGGTAACCAAGCTCTAATATGGAGGAAGGAAATATCCAATGCTTCTTTGACAAAAATCCATGAGAAGAGCCAAGACTGAGCTGGAAATGTGGGGAAGTGATTTGCCCTGCTTTAGTCAGCAGGTGGAGTTCATGAGTAGTGTGAACAGTTAATGCACTTGCCTACTAACTGACAATTTGAAGGTTCAAGTTCATCCAGAGGGGCTTTGGAAGAAAGGTCTGGTGATTTACATCCACAAAACCAGTCACTGAAAACCTATGAAGCACAGTTCTACTCTGACACACATGGGGTCACCATAAGTTGGAATCGACTGGATGGCAACTGGTTACTTGGTTAGTCAACAGATAAAATTGAATCATATTCGAGCCCAATGGAATATAGAGTGAACGGCAAACAACTGCACTTTATTAAGGAATAGCGTTTCCTTTGAAGAAGAGTGATTAAATTTCCTTTTCATCTGTTAGCTTTTCAAATCCTTCACCTAAGTCTCTTCCTGATTCTGTTTAAAGAAAGGTATTTGGCCTTTGTGAAATGTGAACATGTGGAAGAGGCCCCTAGGGAAAGGTTAGGCTCACATTGCCCTCCTGCACTCAATGGCCCCAACCAGGTACTCCTAGTGCTGAGCTGGTCCAGTCCTCTGGGAGGATGAGACGGCTCTGAACAAGGAGGGCCGTGTGCCTGGGACTCCTGCTGGTCAGTGTCCTTACTTGGTTGGTAAGTAATATTAACATCCATTCATATGGTGCATTTATTGTTACTGAAGTGCTGTTCCCTGGGAACAGGGGAGGGGAAGGAAACATTCATTACTTTTGCTCTTACAGGTGCCATGTGTAGTGGCACATATGTCATGTTTATATGTGATGTCTCTGAATCCCCTCAGCAACCTTGGAAAGCTGTTATTATCCCCATTTAACACAAAGGACATGAGTTTATGGAAGTTAAGCCATTGGTTCAAGTCCACCCAGCTAGGAGAAAGAAGGAAATCTAAGAATTAGAGAAGGAACTTGACTAGAGGACTAATTGTTTCCATCAGCCACAGCCTTCTGTCCCTTGAGACCGGAAGAACTAAATGGTGTCTGGTCAGAATACCAAACGTTATGATCAGGGCCACAATAGATCTGATAGAAAAGGAGAAAAATGTGGAACAGAATTTCAAATTCTTAAAGAATCCAGACTTACTGGACCCACTGAGACAGGAGGAATCCCTGACATTATTGCCCTGAGATACTCTTTAAACCTTGAAGCAAAACTATTTTCTGAAGTCACCTTTTAACTAAATAGCATGCTAGCTAAAAAAGCAAAGAATGTCATACTTGAGTACTGTGCTTTTTTTTTTTTTAAATTATATATATAAGACCAAATGGACAATAGCTACTCTAAAGCATAGATGAGTAGTTGTAAGCAGTGAGAATAAGTTAATGGGAGTGAAACAACTAGAGCACAAATAAGGAGAATGTTGCCACAATGTGAAGAATGTAACCAATGTCACTAACATTATATGTAGAAATTGATGAATGGGAGCACATTTTGCTACGTGTAATTTCACCAGAAGTACAATAAAATATTAAAAACAAACAACAACAAAAGCCACCAAGGTAAAAAAGAGCAGAGCTGGGAATCGGAAACCTCATCTGGCCCCTGCCAATACAGAAGCAGTTGGGGTGAGGGAGGAAAGAGTGATCCCCAAAACTGAGCTTAAATAAGAGGTTTCCTTTCCCAGACACCTGAGAGCCACGTGGGAGCCGGGATAAGGAAAGTAATTAAGTTTTGTTAATCAGGAGGCTAGGAGAGGGCTAAAGCAAAAAAATCAAGCCCCATACTGTCAAGTTGATTCTGACTCATAGCACCCCCAAAGGACACAGAAGTGCCCCATAATTTCCCAAACTAATCTTTATGTTGCCATATCTTGCTCTGCAGAGCAGCTGGTGGATTCAAATGCCCACCATTTGGTTAGCAGCTGAGCACTTAACTACTGTGCCACTGGTGCTGGAAAGGGAGAATATAGCATATGAAACAATGTTTAGCTCAAGAGAAAGAAAAATAGCCACTTGTTTGGGAGCCAGTCTGCTGGCTGTGATACTTACCTCTTTCTGTTTCATGTTT